ATTTTTATTTTTAAAAAAAATAGATCAGACATGAATTTATAAAATTTAAGCAGACAAATTTGCCTGCTTATCTGGACAGTTTAAGGGATAGTAAATAGTATTATTACATAGTGTTATTGAAAGATATTTAAATTCTACCTTTTTTCCTAAGGCAAAAAGACATTAATATATGTTCCATACCTGTTCCCTTGATATTTACATCATTTTTTGGGTATATTTGACTCTTTCTTTAATTATTTTCTTTTGATAATAAAGCCTTATTTTGTTATAATAAACTGTAATTCTATAATATATTTAGGATACTGCTATTCATACTATAAAAAATATTATTTGTACTATAGATTTTGTATTACATTAGAAAATCTATCACTATTTTCTATTTGCATTATTAAAGTAATCATTAATCAACTAATGTAGCATTTACTAATCCCCCTCAAGTTTCTATTGGCCGTCAGTAAATTGCTCTATTTTAATAATTGTTTATGTTTGTTTGGATTACTACAGTTAGGTACTTTTTTGTATTTTTCTTTTTTCTTAATATTTCTTGCGCATGTCTTGCTTCACTGGGTCTTCTTCGAGCTTTACTTTATTGGATCTTGCTTCGTCAGATTTGGCTTCATTGGGATCTTCGGACTTTATTTTATTGGATCTTGCTTTATCGGGTTTGGCTTCATTGGGACTTCCTTCTTCTTTTCTCCGTTAGATTCAGAATCTGGGATTAGGAATATGGTAGGTGTTTTTTTTATATAGTTTAATTTTTTTTTCTTTAAATGAAACTAACACTTTTTGCACGTGTCTTACTTCGCTGAGTCTTCTTCGGGCTTTACTTAATTGGATCTTGCTTCGCCGGGTTTGGCTTTATTGGAACTTCTTTCTTCTTTTCTCTGTTAGATTCAGAATCTGGGATTGGGAATATGGTAGATATTTTTTGTATAGTTTAATTTTTTTTTTCTTTAAACGAAACTAACACTTCTTGCGTGTGTCTTACTTCACTAGGTCTTTTTCGGGCTTTACTTTATTAGATCTTGCTTTGTTGGGTTTGGCTTTGTTAGGACTTTCTTCTTCTTTTCTCCGTTGAATTCAGAATCTGAGATTAGAAATATAGTAGATGCTTTTTTTGTATAGTTTAATTATTTTTTCTTTAAATGAAACTAACACTTCTTGCATGTGTCTTATTTCGCTGGGTCTTCTTTAAGCTTTACTTAATTGGATCTTGCTTCGTCAGGTTTGGCTTCGTTAGGACTACTTTTTTTCTCTGTTGAATTCAGAATCTGGAATTGGGAATGTGGTAGGTGTTTTTTTGTATAGTTTAATTTTTTTTTTCTTTAAACGAAACTAACACTTCTTGCACGTGTCTTACTTCACTGAGTCTTCTTTGGGCTTTACTTTATTGGATCTTGCTTCGTCGGGTTTGGCTTCGTTAGAATTTCCTTCTTTTTTTCTCTGTTGAATTCAGAATCTGGGATTGGGAATGTGGTAGGTGTTTTTTGTATAGTTTAATTTTTTTTTTCCTTTAAATGAAACTAATACTTTTTGTACGTATCTTACTTCACTGGATCTTTTTCGGGCTTACTTTATCGGATCTTGCTTCATCAGGTTTGGCTTCGATGGGTCTTGCTTGTCAGGTTTGGCTTCGTTAGGTTTGACTTTCTTGGATCTTGCTTCGTCAGTTCTTACTTTATTGGTCTTTGTTGAGTCTTGCTTTGTCAGGTCTTATTTTATTAGTTTTGCTTTATCAGATCTTTCTTCGTCAGATCTTACTTTGTCAGGTCTTGCTTTGTCAGTCTAACTTCATCAAGTTTTGCTTCATTAGTTCTTACTTCGTTAGATCTTATTTTGTTTATTGGGTCTTGTTTTATCAGGTCTTGTGCTATTGGATCTTATTTTGTTAGGTGCTGTATTTTGTTGGGTCTTGTATTTTGTAGTCTTGCGTTTCATAGGGTCTTGCATTTTATTGAGTTTTTTTGTTGGTTAAAGTAGGGTTAAAAGTATGTTACAGAATTTAAAAATAGAATATAATTAAATCTAGAGTTAG